CCGTTCCTGTTGCTTCGAAATCCCGAAATACAGTACTTTCCACCAAAGTATTTGTTCAATTTTTCCACCAAATCTTGAGGCACCCCAGCCCAGCACCCCACTCCCGCCACACATGTGCTTGGTTCATTTCGTAATCCCAATTCTTCTAAGATCAATCCCCAATTTAGCATCCTAGAGGTGAAATTCCTCCATTTGTTCAAAGTAGAATCCCCATTTCCAACTACCCTCTAGCCAAACAACAGGAAAATCCATCAGTTTCAAAAAATGTCCAGTTTTCCACAGCTTTTCCCATTTTGTTTTTGGGGTATAATGCCCCATCAGCCCCCTGGTGCCCTTGGGTGCCCCTGGCAGCTGTTCAACGGCTTCCTCCAAGCGCCCCGCCGTGGCCATGGTGTCCACACGACTCAGGAGCTCTTCCACCTACGGGCACCATGCCTTCTTTGGAGAGATGATATGACTTAACTATGATATGTTGATCCAAACTTGGGGATTTGTGCCAATTTGTCAGGAGCTTATCTAAAAATGCTGGCTGTCATCATCAAATTAAATTTGGTGTTTTTGTTGACCAAGAAAATTGGGGATATTGTGAAATGTTCATCTAAAATCAAGGAAAATTCGTTAGGATTGACCTCATGTTTTGACCAACAAAATGTGGCGGGTTGAACAAAAAATTAGTTCAACCCATCAAATTGGGCATGTCACAATCAGTTTGTGCATTTTAAGTGGGAAAAATGATGAAAAATGCATCCAAACGTGAGGGTTTCATCCCAAAAATGAGGTGTTAACCCATCAAAATTTGGGGAATTGATCATCACAATTTGGGATTTGGATGGTTACCTATGATATAAAATTGAAATGAATTGAACATGTTCGCCCCAACCCGAACGTTACTCCATGTCCAAGATCTGGCTGGAGCCAACAGGTTCAGACCTGAACCATGGAAGTGCCACCCCCTCCCAACAATATGCTGCACTGTCAATTTAAGTCCAACGGTTGTTTCTATGGGATCAAATGCATCACCCCCTAACAGTAGGGAACGCAGTACTTCGTCAGATACGGAGCAATGGGAGGGATTTGACCTACCATCCCTCAGGGATTGGGGAGTTTCACGAAACAATCCATGGGGATCTGACCTGCAACCGCAGGGATCCGCAGGGATTTGATTTAAGATGTATTGTTTAAGGTACAAACTTGGGGTGTTTCACCTTTTACCAACAAAAGCGGCAGTGACGTTCTGCCAATAAACATTCCACTAGGACACAGTTAACGCACAACGGATACTCGGAGAAAAAAAGAAACGGATGGTGGTTTCATTTTCCGAGAAACAAATATTTTATCACTTGGGATCATCCTATTTGCGGGTATAGAAAACGCACAACTAATGGGAAAACCATCAACCATTGATACCCCAAGGATTGGGACGTCTGGAGCCTCTTTGCTGAAGTCTTCGGTGGCCTTGGGGTCCTGCCCGACGTTCGCTGTTGATTGCAAAGCTTAAGCGAAACCCAGCGCGTCAACCGCGTCAACTCTACATGTTCCGATTGGATGATTCCCATGAAGAGAATCTCAAAATGTGGGTCCCAAAAATGGCGCCTTGGCCAGGCTGCCCAGAAGGGGGTTCAAGGTATCGGCCTTGAAACGTTTGGGAGGCTGAATTGAACGGAAGCTTACCATGGCAACAAAAAGTGGAAGCATCATTGTCAGCAATAATCCATCTATGTACATGTATATATATATATATAATCGTGTATACAATCATATATATAATCATATATATATACTCAAATATATATATATATACACTCATATATATATATACTCATATATATATAATCATACATATGTATATAATCATATATATATAATCATATATATATAGTCATAAATATAATTATATGCATATATATATATAATCATATATATATAATCATAAAGAATCATATATAGAATCATATATATATAATCATATATATATAATCATAAACATAATCATAAATATATATATATATAATCATATATATAATCATATGTATATATAATCACATATATATATAGATATATATTCGTATATATATAATCATATATATATAATCATATATATAATCATATATATATAATCATATCTATAATCACATATATATATATATAATCATATATAATCATACATATATAATCACATATATATATAATCATATATATATAATCATATATATAATCATACATATATAATCATATATATATTCATATATATATAATCATATATAAATAATCGTATATATATAATCACATATATATATATAATCATATATATAATCAGATATATATATATATATGATCATACATATAAGCATATTATATATAATCATATGATATATATATATATATATAATCATATGATATGTATATATATATATATAATCATATTATATATATATGTGTGTGTGTATATAATCATATTATATATAAATACACATGCATCTATATGTAGATCATATATATATATATATGGGTATGGCTTTAAAAAAAATGGTATGGATCCTTCCGCGGTGATCCGGACGTATAGAGCGAGTGAGCTACGTATGAGAGGTTTGATCCGGACCTATTGAGAAGGTATAGTAAAGTGACCTGGTATGAGTACTACTTGTCATTTTGGGGTATGGATCATATCCCTCAGAGATATGGATCATGGGTATGGATTGGGGCTATGGATCGCCTGTGGGTCCAGGGTATGGATCGGGGCCCTACATTTTGAGCCGCGGCCATATTTAAATTTAGGTATATAATGTGTTTGATCTCCATATAAATTTGACTCAAACTAATTCAAACAATGTTTTGAAAAGTCAATACGTGGCTGTATGTAAATCGGCAACGATGGGAAACTTGAAATCCCCGAGTTATCGGCTTCACCACTTCAAGAACTGGACATCCTCCAGCTGGGTAATCAGTGGCACTAGTCTTTCGCTTTGTGCCGGAGCATGATTTGATTTCATCGAATCATCCAATGCAAATGTGGGTACCGAGCAATATCCAAAACAGCAGCTTCACAGTCCTAAATGCTGCTGGAATTCGCAGTACAGCATTCCAGTCACTCAGGGTCGGACCATCGAAACAATGAAGACCTAAGGCGACCAGTCTTCTCCGTCAACGACACCTTGTTGTTCAAATTCGTATGTTCCTTCCAAAAACCTACTGAGGGTCTCTATTTCCTGGTGACACGCGTTCCTTCACGTCATACACAAAAATTGAATCAATGTGTGATATCAGTGATATCATTTGATTCCGATAACCCCTTTGTTTCTGGATTATGATCCCTGATTTCTTTCTCCTCATCCCAGTATTCTCGCCCTTCCAACCCAATGCTCCTCATCGAGTCCCCTTGACGTTCCAAGCTCCGCACACCGGCGTCCACCGGTGTCTGCCCCGCTTTTTTTTGGCCCTGCTATGCTAGTTCCACATGGCTGCGGCCATGCATGAGGTGGAACATGGTCTGATTTCAAGATGCAAGATGGCCGCTACATTGGCTAATCTTACTGCATATACCCTGCAAAAAAGAAAGATAGCCGGATATCTTTATTTCCCACATCGGAAAAGTGCAACCGACAAAAGAGTTGGGAGTGTTTTAACCGTTGAAGATGGTGATAACCAAGCAATTGGACGTTGAGAAGAACACGACGGTGATACAGAACCACCATCTTTAGGAATGTTCGGCAAGCATGAGGGAAGGTAAGCACCAGAACGGGGAACTCGACAAAATCTTTAGGACGATGATGGCCATGCCATGCTTGATAATTCGCCCTTTGGGAGAGCCCGAGAGCCTCTCAAGACTAAGACCAATGTTGTGAGTGGCGAGGTCCGAAGTATGATGTAACACATACTCGCTTGCCAGCAGAAGGTGCCACACTGTGGTCACCAGGATCAATCACACCTTAAAACCACCTGCAGGCAGTTCCATTGGGGAGGTCTATATGTTCTATGCCATACCAGTTCCCTGCACTCTTCACTCGTTTTTTCGAGCCATTCATCAGTCTTGCAGACTGATGCCAAGCTTGTCTTCATCGAAGGGGTTGTCCTTAGATTGTTCAAGAATGACCTGGCGCTGTGTCGTGAATGCTTGGTCTATGACTTACCAGTTCTTCAAAGACGGAAGGAAAGCAGCTTGAAGAATTACAGTACAAAGACTCTATGAGGCTTCTGCCAAGATTCAATAGATCATTAGATTCGAACGGTCTTGCAAATGTATCACAAACAAAACACAAACCTATCAACCTGTGCAAGTGACATGTCTTTGAAAAACCAAGGTGAAACAGGAACGCTTGAAGAGTTCGTTCTCGTAGAGTGCACTTGCTGCTGAGAAACCTCCCAAAGGTCCTCGTCATCCTCATCCGCCATGTCCTTCCAATCGCTGATTTTCAGTCACGAAGGGTGGTCATTGTTCTTAGCTCAGCTATTCAAAAAATTAGCTACCCCAGTTACCCCAATGAAAGTCCCACAAAAAAAAAGTTCTTACTGTAATCCTCCTGACGTCCCTAGTTGGCGAGTGGAATACCCGTGTCCTCGGATCTCCAGGGCGACCACCTAAGGATCAGAAAGCTGGGACCAAACACTGTGAATTCTGTATATTGTGTGGAAATTACCCGACAAAAAAAAAAAACTACTTATGATTCCCAGTCATTTTGCTGCTGACCTCATTTTTTGCACTTTCTGATGGTTTCTGATGGTTTCGCTGAGTGTTCCAATATAAAAATCTGATGTAATTCAGGTCTTTTGGGATGACTCCCCCAATCCTAATCACATCAAATCATCATTTCTAGGGTTCGGTCGCCTGCATCCTTTACCGACAAAGTCCAATCCGTGGAAGCAGCTGAACACCAAGATACCCCTCGTCAGCTTGACGCATCTCTTCCTCCTCATCATCCCAAATATCTTGGTCCATAGGACCCATATCTGCCTGCAGTTTTCGGCAAACAAGCCTTGCATCGAGACAGTTTCGGTACCTCTGGGTGGACTGCAAGATTTGGTCTTGGGACCTCCTCGAAGAGTTCCCGCAATTCCTTCTCTGTGAGCCTCAGCGGCCGTGCCGTTCGGATATCTTTAGTAGATATGAAGATGGATTAATCCTACATGGTATACCATTTGACCACCAATCCTATATGATATATGAATAATTATGAATATATAAGAATATATATATATATATGAATGGTCATATGATTTTGAACCCATACCCAGTTCCAAGAACAACCATTGTGAATGGATAGAGGAGGATTTTACCGTCAAATGGGTATGTTAATGGATATGAATCTCTCCAACTAATATAGATCCTGCCAAATGGGGGTTGGAAGTCTACTTTCCATTTCTAATGGGAGACTCTCACGGTCTATGTCAGTTGCTGGAATGATATGTTTGATCCCAAGTTCAATGTCTTCATGCTGGATGGATGATATGTTGAACTCAGCGAAATGGAGTTTCTTTTTTCATATATTATTATCTATCATTGTATATCATTATATATTACTGTATATCATATTATATATATACATGCATATATCATATATATATAACATTGTATATCATATATATATATATCATTATCTATATAGCATCATATATCATATATATATAACATTATATATATATATCATATATACGTGTATATATATAACATTATATATCATATATATATATGTATATATATAACATTGTATATATCATATATACGTGTATGTATATATATATATATAACATTATATATCATTATATATCATATGTGTCTTGTATATATATATACGTATATATATATATCATTGTTAGTCATTACATATAAATATATCATCATTTATATATATATATATCGCAGTCTTCCCTCTTAATCACAGTGTTCCCTTTTAAAAACCACAACTGGATCATTTTGGAGGTATCCTCGCCGGGAGCCAGGCTCTCGATGATCCTCTGCATCCTTCTCAGCCTCCAAACGCTCCACATCTGCCTGAGGCCTCAGCTGCATGGGAAAATCAGGATGGCATCAATGGAGGTTTCATGGAATTTCCTGTTTGAATGATTTTAAATGGATGATTTGGGGGTGGTACCCACTTTAGGCAAAATTATTACTATGGGGGTTTCGCACTTGCTCGTTTTAATCATTGCAGATAGTACTCCCCAAATCCATCATTCTAATCATTGCGGACTTTGGTAAATCAAATACGGTTCTACCTTTTTGCGGATTAATATTTAAGGGAAAAGGACGACACAGTGGAAGGTTTCTTGCTGCATGTTCAGGGCTTCGACCCCATTTTGAATACTGTGGGCCTGTATCGTGTCTTGAATGCTTGTCACGATCCTAGTGAAGCAAGAAGCAGAGCCAAACAGTCTGGAGGCTGGGGCAAACACCAAAAGAATATAAACAAAATATCGTATCATCATATCATACTGCTTGTTGTTCATGAAACATGTTTGCGGATTTAGAATCCAATTTTGGCAAGCTAAATCACCCATTTTTGCCGGTTTCAACTTCCTTTGTCGACGTCGGTTCAGTGCAATCCAGCCACTTCCAAACCGGTTTCGGCGCCGAAGCCTTCTTGGAGCGCCAGTCAGGAGTGGTGGGGTCAAAGCCTCTGGGCTTCAGCAAGAAGTTCCAAAATTGGGCCCGTTTGGGGATGGATGGAATCCCACCCCATCGATCGTGATTCTGGGGATGGTTTATGGCAGGTCTACCACATTACCAATTGTCATTGCTAAACATCACCATAAATCATGGTAAATCAGCATGTTCATCCATTTTCCATAGCTATATTGGTTTATCAGAGGCTACATGGAGGTTTCCATAAATGGTGGTACCCCCATTTTTGGATGGTTTATAGTGGAAAAGCCTATTATTTTATGGATGTTTTGGGGGTACGCCCCTGGAAACCTCCACATAGCTATCTCCTACCTCCAAGTTAGGTGCCCACACGTTCCAGGCAACGCATCTTCCCTGTGTCGGCCGCAGTGGTGAGGCGCAAACCTGGGATAACAGCTGGAAACCCTGGTCGCTTTGCCAAAAAAAAACTGGGCGATTGGACCGTGATGCCAGAAATGGATCGTTTTAAGATTGTTACGATCACGGAAGGCAGAAACTGTACGTTTTGATGTGTTTGCTTTTCAAGGCAGATGTTGGGGCGGAAAGGCCGGTGTTGAGTTTCTGTAGCACAATATGGAGTGGCATCACTTGAGATAGCTAGAAACCAGTACACCAAAACGGATCCTGTGACTTAGGGTCCTAAGTTGAACCAGACCCACATCTCACTCCAGCCCCTATCACCAATCCCCGGTCCCCAGGCTGCGGATAGCAGCAGCTGTGATTTGCTTCCTCAGCCAGATCAAATGAATCACGTGGCCATTGGTCCCATTGGTTGACGGGGTTACCCACTGGTCATAGCTGAGACCATGACCCCATGGTGGTTTCTTTGGTACCACACAACAGAGTCATGACCTAGGTCAAGGATGGTCAAGGAAAATCCTATCTGTGAAATCCAGGAGGCATGACCAAACATCTGCTGGAGCTGCTTAAAAAGCTGGTTTTTAAAAGGCATATGGAAACGACTGGTTGACTCCACAAGTTGAGTTTCTAGATCCACTTTTGATGCATCAACGTACACAGTTTTTGGCCAACAAGGGGTAGGACAAACATCCATGACACCAAAACAAAGCAAAAATCAGCGAAAACCCAAACAGCACTAATACATTGAACCAGTAGATGGCTATCTCTGGTCTGCAGGGTTTTCTCATGAACAGAGTGGGGTACGAAATATTGCTGATGTTCAGCACCAGCCATCAGAGTTTAGGTGTCTCCATCATGCCTCACTCATGGTAAAAGGTGCCTCATGCTGAACCATCCCATCCCCATGGGGACTCCGGACGCTGCCTCCCTCACCAGCACGGGCAGTGCGACCCACCTGACAAAAACTTAAGAGTTGGTCAGAAGGTACAGTACCCTCCGGCAAATCAACATAGATACCGACAATCCACCATTGATCCATGTACGGATGGCAATGAATTTGTCAACGACCTTACCCAAAAATATGTTTGCCTTTACTGCAAAAATGGATCCCATTCCCACATCTTTAGCCATTCATCAATAATTTTGACCCAGCATGACCTTCATCAATAAACGAATCCATCAAAATTTTTGTGTTCGCCTAAAACAATCCTTTCTACCCTCTGGTAATTTAACATAGCTATTAAAAATGGCCATTTATGGTGGATTTACCCATTGAACATGATGATTTTCCATTCCTATGTTAAATTACCAGAGGGTAAATAGTAAATCATCATTAATCACCATTAACCATCATTAACCATCATTAACCACCATTAACCATCATTAATCACCATTAACCATCATTAACCATCATTAATCACCATTAACCATCATTAATCACCATTAACCACCATTAGTCACCATTAACCATCATTAATCACCATTAACCTTCATTAATCACCATTAACCTTCATTAATCACCATTAACCTTCATTAATCACCATTAACCATCATTAATCACCATTAACCATCATTAATCACCATTAACCATCATTAAACATCATTAATCACCATTAACCATCATTAATCACCATTAACCATCATTAATCACCATTAACCATCATTAATCACCATTAACCATCATTAACCATCATTAATCACCATTAACCATCATTAATCACCATTAACCATCATTAATCACCATTAACCTTCATTAATCACCATTAACCATCATTAATCACCATTAACCATCATTAATCACCATTAACCATCATTAATCACCACCATTAAACCATCATTAATCACCATTAACCATCATTAATCACCATTAAACCATCATTAATCACCATTAACCATCATTAATCACCATTAACCATCATTAATCACCATTAACCATCATTAACCATCATTAATCACCATTAACCATCATTAATCACCATTAACCATCATTAATCACCATTAACCATCATTAATCACCATTAACCATCATTAACCATCATTAATCACCATTAACCATCATTAATCACCATTAACCATCATTAATCACCATTAACCATCATTAATCACCATTAACCATCATTAATCACCATTAACCATCATTAATCACCATTAACCATCATTAATCACCATTAACCATCATTAATCACCATTAACCATCATTAATCACCATTCACCATCATTAATCACCATAACCATCATTAATCACCATTAACCATCATTAATCACCATTAACCATCATTAATCACCATTAACCATCATTAATCACCATTAACCATCATTAATCACCATTAACCATCATTAATCATTAACCATTAACCATCATTAATCACCATTAACCATCATTAATCACCATTAACCATCATTAATCACCATTAACCATCATTAATCACCATTAACCATCATTAATCACCATTAACCATCATTAATCACCATTAACCATCATTAATCACCATTAACCATCATTAATCACCATTAACCATCATTAATCACCATTAACCATCATTAATCACCATTAACCATCATTAATCACCATTAACCATCATTAATCACCATTAACCATCATTAATCACCATTAACCTTCATTAATCACCATTAACCATCATTAATCACCATCATAATAACCATCATCAATCACCAGTAACCATCATTAATCACCATTAACCATCATTAATCACCATTAACCATCATTAATCACCATTAACCATCATTAATCACCATTAACCTTCATTAATCACCATTAACCATCATTAATCACCATTAACCATCATTAATCACCATTAACCATCATCAATCACCAGTAACCATCATTAATCACCATTAACCATCATTAATCACCATGAACCATCATTAATCACCATTAACCATCATTAGTCACCATTAACCACCTTTAACCATCATTAATCACCATTAATCACCATTAATCACCATTAACCATCATTAATCACCATTAACCATCATTAATCACCATTAACCATCATTAATCAC